GCATTAGGGATGACTAATAAGAAATGCTTCTAGGTTTTTGAGTTCTAAATCTCACTAATATTTTGACCAAAAAAAATAGAATTTGGAATTACTTCTTTAATTTAAATAAGTTAAAAGTAGTTTATCGAGTAGAGGAAAAAAATAAAACTTCTATTTCTTTAAAAACACTTATATTTAAAACATTTCTTAATTTTATATTTATCACCACGTACCACTTTCATTACCGTCCCCATCAATGACACTGCCGATCACTTTTTTCACCACTGAACATCACTACCGTTGTTACAAGAAAAAATAATACATACACACGTCAAAACACACATATTAATCCACCAAACCATACATCTCCCCACCCCCACGCCCACAAAATACATTAATACATCAAACACACACACAAAGATGGAGCCACATAGTGGCCAAGGCCCTCCCTAAAATTTTTTAAAATATCTTTATACCGCCTTTAGAATTTTAAAAATTATGACACCTCTCCTTCCATTTTCAAATATCTTACATATAGTGTATTTCAACTAGTGTATTCTGTTAGAAACTTTTAGTTCTAATTTGACAATTTAGTGAGGTCACTTGCACTTGTATCTCAACCAAATTTATGGCCATAATATTTAAGAAGATTGAAAGACCAAGGAAATGTGTGATGAAGAAGCTCAAGCAACATCAGAGCATGTGAAGACTTCTTGGAATACATCAAGCTTAGGTGAGGTAAGAGTGTTATGTATATGGTTGCCTTAAAATGGTGTAACTTAGGTGAATAAAATAACTTTAGATGTTAATTATGAAAATCCGTAGCATGACTCTTGTATTTATAAGAATAATGTTTTTGAAACTTCAAGGATTGAATTTTAAACAATATAAGAGTCATGGCATGGAGGCTTTTAGAGCATCACCCCTTGGTGCTCAAAAGTTTGATGAGAGCATTGGTTTTAGGTTAAGAAACCGATGAATACTTGTAAAATCCGTTGTAATTATTTGAATTATATACTAGAATAGTAACTATATTGTTAAAATAGGTTAAGGGGTGCAAAGAACTAAATAATTTGGTGTTGCGCAATTTGTGCTATAGTTAAAATGCACGCCGAGAAAAAATTTATACCCCTGCCTACGGGTTGGGAAAGGAGTCCAGAGAAGCCTTTTTTTAACAATGTTTGATTTTTTTATGTTCATAGCTTATTATTTTTAATCTCAAGAAAGCGCAAAACAGGAATGTCAATTTATAACATAACAAGTTGATGATAAGGAGTCGACATTAAATGAGTATGCTAGGGTTGATTAGTTTCTACAAATGACATGACCCGCTAATATGAATAGTAAATGGGTCGAGTTAAAGTTGGTTTTGTTACCGTTTAAAAGGAGTGAATTTTTATTTTATTAGATCGTTGTGGGTGGCAAAGTGCAATAATTGCAAACCTTAGGTTGGTTTGTGTTATTAAAAAACAATTCGCAAGCTTTATTTTTCGGCAATTTTACATCGCAACCTTATGTTCTGTTATGCAGCAAACAAGTAATGCTTGTACACAGACAAAGCCGACGAGTCCAAAGGTGTCTATAGATCTTTAGATAGCTAGAACTACTAATACATCAAACACACACCTTAGCACTACTAATATTTTGGTAGGCCCTACGGCTTTTTAGATGTCTTTTGGTTTTTGGTTTATCTGATATCAAGATCCTCCTTTATTTGTCTAGGGTTGCCTTAATTTCACCACTGATGCCTTAATTTACTTCCAGTTACATTGGAAGTATGTTCCTCTCACTCGTAAAAGCATGTGCCCTATGCCTATGTGATCAATGAAGTGGCGTACAATGGGTCCACCATGAAAGCCTATGTGAATCAATGAAGTGGCGTACAATGGGTCTACCATGAAAGCTTGATTCTCCAGGTTCCCCCATTTCTGTCTAGCAAAACCATCGTAGCAATTCACCTATTGAAAGCATGATAAACACTACATAGAGAACCGGCAGAACAGAGTTGATGTCAATGACAAAAAACCAAACAACGTCATAACATGATGAACAATACTAGCATAGATTGGAGAAAAAACTCAGCTTTGCTTCAGACAAGATGCAATATAGGAGCAAACTAGTAATGATAACTCCCATGGTTTTGGGGTAGGTTTCGAATGGAGTTTGGTTTTCTCCTTGAAACTTCAACTGTTGGAGGTTGATGATCACCGGAACAATAAATGTGAGAATTGTATGGCGTGAAAGAGAAATAGTACATTGTTCTTCTAAGAAATTGAATCTCATATCATTGAAGATAGTATTAAACTATCCTGAGAAGTTTGTCCACCCTCGATGAAAGAAGGTTATTCTTGCTGTGTCAGCCATTAATAAATACCACTTCCTGTACAAGACACAAAAGTAGATGACTATGTATGGATGGTGGATGATGGATGTGCATGGTTTAAGAGAGCCCATTGTTAGAGGCCCAATTTGCTCGGGTTTCCCGGAAGACAACTCGACTCCAATTTGAAAGATTTAATATTCCAATAGAGATTTTTAATATTGAGTTAGGCTTGAATCAATTTAAATACTGGTGTTATGGGTCTTTGGGCCCAAACCGAATTAAATTTTGTAATTTGGGTTCAACATGAAAAAATCTATTTAAAAAACATATATAAGCAATGATAACAATTTCATTAATTATAGATAAAGGCAAAAAATCTGGTGCATCCCCTTCTCACAAAATAACACAGTTGCAGTTCAATGCTTCTTTAACTATAATATGTGCTGCTACATTGTTGATTCTGTGAGTCCAAGTCGCTGAGAATTGATGACATCTTTGAGCTTTTCTCCGAACTCAGCCTCCCTAAAAACTTAATTCTCAAATTCATTTAGTTTTAAATTTATTTCTCAAATTCAGTCTCTTTTTAAAAACGTTATTCCAAAAGACGCATTTATGGATTAAAATGTCATTTGGAATGACGTCTTTAAAGACATCAATGAGAATGACGTTAAAAAAAGTGAATTAAAAATGACAACATAATAGGCGTTAAAAAAATTAGTGGGTAGAAAACATCATTTGAAATGACATTTTCTGCCCATCGATTTACCCATCTCCACTCCAAAATGATATTCTCAGAAATTAAGTGGAGGGGTACTTTCAAAATTTTTGCAATCAAATTAGGGTTCATGTCTACCACTTTACCCCTAACTTGAGACTTAAAAGGTGTGATTATCTTTATGAAAGAAGTGGATGTTTGCATAAAATAACCTCACCAATTGGCACGACATACGGGTGCCAAAATCATGATCTGTAGATCTATGCCACAGCACAACTCTTGACAGTAACAAGGTTATTAGAAGACTAGAGAGAGGAATTGAACAAATACAACAATGTTTGAATCGTTTCTGATGGTGTAAATCAACACGGTGCAACTTTGTGATATTGTACAGTTGAGATGAACAATATGTGACTATTAGGATCTGAGCTATAATGCTCGAAAGAGCAAGGATTGGTCTTGAAGGGAAATTGGGGGATTGACACAATGAAAATATAATGGTTCACCAGCTCTGGAGCTCGGCTAATCTACTCTTCAATGGAGGCTCTTGCTCATTTTTCTTTTATTGATCATCCGAAAGGTTTTCAAGACCGATTATATGTTACTCTCTCTCTCTCTCTCTCTCTCTCTCTGCCCCCTCTTGGGGGCGTTACATAATATTTATAGGGTTGTCTCTAGTTTTGCGGGATCTGCACCGAGATCCTTGCCATTTATCCGAGGAACTCTCCTTGATCTTAAGAGAGAATCTTGGTTGGTTAAAGATTTTGTGTCTTGAAAATAGCTCTTTGTCATCTGTAAGATTGTTGTTGTCATCCAACTATTCCTTTATTATTTTCGTTGTGGTCATGTCTAGGGAGGGGGGTTCTAGCTCTGATCCTCTGAGCTCTACGTGTCTCCCCTGACCTCTTGGCCTGACCTGTTTGTTTGACCTTCGTGCCTAAGCTCATACTTGAAAATTATTCTGAGTATCATCAGTTTCCATGCTATGGAACATGCAAAACGCTTGCACATGAATCCGAAAACAAGCTATAAAAAGGGTTAATCTTAATTTTCATGTCGAGTCAATTGCGTTGTGTCTTGTATTTCATATTTACGACAATTCATATAATACTATCTAATACTTTTTAAAAATTAAAAAATACCAATTTTTTGTTTATAATGCTTGTTAAATAATTATTTTTTGTCTACAATTAAGTTATTCGTATGCAACTTTAATTTGATCTGATAATCAAAAGATTTGTACCTAACTATAGACATATAATATTTATTTAACAAGTATTGTAGGCAAAAAATAAATATTTTATAATTTTTTTTAAAATTTTGAAAAATATTTTTTATTGACTCGAAACACGACACAAAGATGTTATGATACAATGCAATTGAGAGCTATTTAATGAGCATTAATGGATGAAATTCTGTTTGGATAATAAATATTAAATATTTAAACTTGGAAGGTATAATTTATAATTAACCCAAACTTTGATATGCTACCAATTTAGCCCCCCAGGTGCACAATGATACGAATTTATATCTTTTAGGGTGTAAATTAATATTTTTAAACTATGAAGGGTACAAATTAAAATTTAAGTGATCTTTCAGAGTTCAAATTGAGATTAAGATCTATTTATGGTGTCCAACCTAGAATTGTCCGACTATAATTACTCCGACGATTTCTTTCAAAATTATCTTCCAAATTCATTGGTAATTGACAAGAAATCACTTTGTTGTTTGGAATATAATCTGACCTAATGTGTTTTCAAAATTTATCAACTACATAAACATTATTAGTTGATGAACCATTTCTAAACCGCAACAAAATGAACATTAGAGCTTGAAGACAATGAAATAACCATTTAAAGCCACAGCCAAATAAACATGACCACCATACCACACATCACATTCCAAATTCACCAATTACAACATATTCCCACATACATTCTACTGTATCCACAATTTCTAACCTCTAATACAAACCGTTTCTCGTCACTTCTTTGTATACTCTTTAAAGTTCTTATAGAAACCATCAATCTTACTCTCTAGCTGCTTAAGAAACCCCCTAGTGTATTCCTCAAATTGCTCAAACTGTGATGCCATCTTCTGTTGCATTGTGATTAACTGTTGAAGCTTCTCTCCAACCATATTCATATCAATTGCGGAATTAGTTGGACCCTGCGTGTCGGTCTCATGAACATTATCAGATTGGCCACTACACGGGGGTGCACATTTAGAGCAATGAGAAGACTCAGCTTGACCCAAACTCTTTTTCAATGTACCCTCATTTATCAAACTCATGGCATGCATCACCGCATCACCAGGCTGAAATGCAACTCCACTATGCCTCAAAATCTTGGTAATCAAAATGGGAAATGGAAGACTTCGCCTTTTATCCATCACTTTAGATGCATTATAAATAAGGTTAAATATGTAAAGGGGAAGAACTATACATACCCCAATCCCAATCGCATAAAGCAGTTGAGCTCTGTCAAATCCAAAATCAGCTTTATGTCCTTTGGGATTGATATTACACGAAACTATACGATTTAATATCCTATAGCTTAAACCAAGGTTTTTCTGGCCAATATTTGTGTTCTTATCCACCCAAACAGTAGGTATCACAAATTTCATCAGTAACCTTCCCAATTTCAGGACTTGTTCCTCTTTCTTATAAGGATACACAACGGTATTCTCAGGCATTAAGGGGCGGGGTACTTCCAAAATTTTTGCAATCAAATCAGGGCTCATGTCTATCACTTTACACCTAACTTGAGACTTAAAGGTGTGACGATCTTTATGGAAGTCGGTGGATGTTTGCATAATATAACCTCACTAGTTTATCATATGCTTTTTCATCCTTTCCAACATCAAACAAGGAATTCTAATTTCAATCATCAAAAAATCTAGGGCAATCTGTTGCTCCTAAATTATCCAATGAAACACCACGCTCCATTAACAAAGGACGATGACAAAAGCATGAATTATACCTCTTTTCTGCGGCATCATTGTAGAAACTTTTATCAACATTGGAACTCTTGCCTTTATTAGTAACTTTCCTCTTCTTAGTTGGTGTAGCAGCTCCACCCGCTATCAAGAAAGTAAAAATAACCCACGAAAAATATCAAAAAAGTACACACAAAAAAAATGTTGGGTAATTAAGTCAATAATTTTGACACTTATTTGTGTCTAAGTACATTATTTGAATTTTATTGATTTTTTTGTGATATTTTTGTCATCCATTAATTCATGTGTTTTTTTTTTGGAAAGTGGTGCATTAAACATCTCCAAGTTTTATGGAAAAACTTTTATATATATATATATATACTTGTTGTTAAATCTCTTATCTAAATTTTGAATTATTTTTAATGCATTTTAATTCATGCGTATTTTTTTTTTGAAAAATAATTTTGTTTTCAAATTATATTTAATGCACCTTGATTCATGCGTTTTTTTTTTTGGAAAGTGATTTTATTTTCAAATTAATTTAATATCCGAATAGTATAATAGTGTAACAAGCTATTTACACAACATAGTGTACTATTATATTTTGTCAAACATATAGTTTTATATAATTTCATTCAAAATAGTTCATCTCTGTTTTGAATTTGTTACCACATTCACAAAACTACTGAACACTGTTTTTGTTACGGTATATTTGTTACATTGTCTTTGTTATATATTTACACAAAATATTGTAATATTACATTTTGTCAAACATATAGTTGTATATAATTTCATTCAAAATAGTCCATCTCTATTTTGAATTTGTTCCCACATGCACAAAACTACTGAACATTGTTTTTATTACAGTGTATTTGTTACATTGTCTTTATTATAGTGTATTTGTTACATTGTACATTGTTATTGCTACACAGTGCATTAAAGATAATTCAATATATATATATATATACAAAATATTTTCTAATAATTCCCAGTATCCTATTTTCTGCAATCAATCCCGTCGACGCTCGAAGGGAATAAAACGGCCTAACACTCCTATCCACGAAAAAACGGCCTAAACCATTCCTAATGTGCGACCATGAATGCAAAACAATAGGGAGCAATAGAGAAATATCATCATAACAAAATTTTAACAAACAACAAAAGCTCCAAGAAACATTATTATAACATGATTAAATTCACAAATTCATAATAACAGTAGTCTAACAGAATTAAATCACAATTACATAAGCACCAAAAATTAGTAATAGATCTGCATATAAATCAATAAAATAAACTTAAGCTACCATTCACTTGGCTCTAATACCAGAAAAGGGGGGAGGATCGATCTACAAAATAAAAATTAGCGAAAGCTTTTATTTAATGCAAAATTTTATGTATAAATACACTTACAATAGTAGTGGTGGAAGGTAGAAGATGGAGGGTTTATATAAGAGAAGAGGGTTCACCGAGGGTGCAAGAGGGGAGAGAGAAAGAGTAGGTAAAGGGGTGGTGTAGGTATATGATGCAGTGTGAGATACGGTGCTCCACAAGTTGAGCATGCATCTCTTTATATAGAACTGGACATGAAATCTAGATTTCAAAACAAAAAAATACTATTTACAACTTTATACTATTGTTAAATTTAATAATTTACAATGACGTCATTGCTTTATGTCATAAATAATGTATATTTTTTACTATACACTATTCACAATCGTTGTAGTGACGTCAGGGTGTGCGTCACTTTTTCATAGTGACGTAAGGGCGTATGTCACTTCTTCTGGGTCGGCTTTATCCGATCATTTCCTGTAAAAAAAAATTACACAGCATATTATCACTGTCATCCTAGAGGTTTATCTCCATATCATCATTTAACAAATTTTCATTAATAGAAATTTCACCTTTAAGCGGAGTAAATTTCTGGAAATCCATAAAGTCGTCATCAGAATTAATAGGAATGAGAGATTTTCTATTTTTTTCCTCAACTTTATCTTTTCATTTGCCTTTTATGGCAACTGTAGGAGTGTTGACGAGATCCATCTTCTCTGTTTTAGTCATGCCAAATGTAGACATAACCTAAAGACAGAATTCCTCCATAACTAGTGCTTTAAGCTGCTCAGAGTTTAAATGAGATTTTTCTTTTTTAATTAGTTCTTTAAGAACTTCAACAGGATTTAAATTAGTTCCAATATTTATACTAGTAAAGGGAACCATTGATGTAGAAGATGAAGCTTTCAGTTGAAGATTTATCTTCTTCTTTATCTATGTCTTTAAGACATTCAACTATGATTTTATATTTAAACTTAGGCGAATAATTTTTTCAAAAATGAACATGATATTCCCTGATTTGTCTGAGATCATAAATATCATAAGGATATATCATTTCAATAAGTTTAGAGAAAAATAAAAAATTAAGCTCCATATATGGAGACAAAGTCAAAGATCTTTGAATAATAAAGAGAGATTTATCTCCTGACATCTTTTCTTTATTGTCAACTTTATTTGACAAAGACGTAACAACTTTAAGTTGTTTTGACGGATTGACATCAATATCACTTTTATGTGATAATCCTTTTATAGTGAGCGGAGGATAATAAGCATTTTTATATCCATTAAAATAATATGTATCCTTATATGGATTAAAATAATATGCACTTCTATATGCATAAAAAGTATTTTTATATTCATCAGAATAATATACATTTTTATATGCAAAAACTTGGGTTCTAACCGTTATACCACCAAGTTTATTTATCATTTCTTGACAAAATTCTTTAGGGACTATATTCTCCATCCATTGTTTATATTTCCAATCATAATGTCAGTCATTAAGTTCAAGAATAAGATGAAACTTTAAACCTATTTTTAAAGACTCTTTTTGACATCTTGCAAATTTTATCAAAAAGATAGGGACATGATCAATTAGTTGATCTTTCATAACATTACAATAGAGACACCAAAGTGAAACTTTGCAATAATTAGTACGTCAGGTAGAGGCAATGCTAAAAACATCTTCACCTGCATAATCACAAATACAGTCAAGTAGTTTTGAAGATTTGGCAATAAGATCCAAAGAAAATGAATCTGGGTAATGACTCATTTCTGGAACTTTTTGGACTTTTCTTGAAAAATAAGCATCGCTTCTTAATATGTCAGAAGTTGATGAGAAATTTATTTGGTTTTCTTTATTAATCAAACTTTCTTTTATTGGATTTATCAATTTTATTTAAGGTGGAGTTATAAACTCAAATAATATCTGTTGACCATTTATAATAGTCAAAATACCTTTAGAATCAATTCTTTATATAGGGAATTGATATTATAACATGATTATAATATTAGGGAAAGCTTTTAAAATAAACTATTTCAAAAGGTGAAAAGCAATCTAAAACTAAAATTCAACAATTTGAAGATTCTTTACACTAAATACAGTCCGAAGAAATAAATAAAATTGAACTATCCAAACCAAAAACTAATCATTAGCAGCAGGAGTCTCCTTTAAGAGTTTATTATCAAAGATCTACTCCTTAAGATGTTTTACATGAAGAAAGATTTTTAATTGATCAAAGTGGATATGATGTCTCTTCAATTTTATGAATGGAATATTGATGGTATGTCTGAATATTTAATTCACCAAGTCTTACATAAAATTTTAATGTATGCTTTAATATTTAAAGCTAATCGTAATTTTGATCATGCTACTGCTAAATTTATAACCATATGATTTACAGGCCAACTAAGAGGCTGGTGGGATAACTATTTCAATCAAACTCAAAATAATGAAATATTAAATGCAGTCAAGATAACAACAGTAGAAAATGAAACTTTAATTACTCAAGAAGATGTTGTGTACACTTTAGTACAAATCATATTAAAACATTTTGTTGGATCTAGTTTTCAAAACACTGATAAAAGTAAAGAACTCTTAATGAATTTAAAATGTCCCACCTTAACACATTTTAGGTAGTATAAAGATATTTTTTTGGCCAAAATCTTATTAAGACCAAATGCTAATAATGAATTTTGGAAAGAAAAATTTATATCAGAATTGCCCAGTTTATTTGTTGAAAAAATAAGGGTTCGCTTAAAGCAAAAACATGGAGGATTTAAATTCCCTTATGAGAATTATACTTATAAAGAACTAATATCTGAATGTATTTCAGAAGGTCTAGTTCTCTGTAATTATTTAAATCTTAAAGTCCAACTTAAAAGACAAAGATTAACTGGTAGAAAAGAACTTGGAGAATTTTGTAATCAATTTGCTTATAATCTTGATATTCCAAAAGATAAAGTTTCTAGTAAAAAAAAGACTTATTCTAAGCCTTATAAAAAGGGTAAAAAATTCTATAAAAAGAGTTATGATAAAGAATACGAGAAAGCTAACAAACCTACTAAAAAGGTCAAAGAAAAGGACAAGAAATCTCTTCTTAAATGCTTTAAATGTAGAAAGGAATGTCATATTGCTTTCAAATGTTCAACTAAACAACAAATTAATTAATTAATTAATGATGAAAAAATTAAAGAAAAAATCTTTAAAATTGTACTAAACTCAGAAAGTGAATTAGAAGATAATTCTGATAATTTTTCTAAAGATTACAATATTAATGAAATCAGTAATTCATCTTTAGAAATCGAATCTTTAGAACAGGATAAAACTTGTTCTTCACATTGTAAAGCAGAAAATGACTATTAGATTTTTCCAACAATATAAAGCTGAGAATATTATTATACCAGGATAATTGTAGCAAAAGTCACAATAGCAGTATTATAATATAATTAAAAGACGAATTACAGTAGCAACCAGA